CTACAGGAGGAGCATACAACTGCCCTAACATCCATTCCCACTGTTCTGAATTCCCAAACAGACAAATTAAAAAAAAAATATACTAGTAGCCTTAGCAAATCAGCGCTCAGAACCTTTTTTTTTGGTTAGAGGAGGAGGATGGGTGGGAGACACTACCTAGTTAGTGTTTCGGGTAAAGCAACTGACCAAATATATTACCTCACTTACTCCAAAAATGGAGTCACGTGAGGTAAGACTTTTATAACCGAAAAGCTCACCTTCCCAGGCTGCCCTCGCGCTTCCTCCCGGACTCCCGCCGCTGAAACAACTGAAAGCATACAAATTATACAAATTACATACAAATTATCCAGAAAAAAGAAACAGCGGACCTGAGGAATGGGAGCAGTTTAGAATTCACCAAAGGAGAACAAAGGGATTGACTGGGAAAGGGAAAATAGTGTGAGAGTAAGCTTGTGGGGAACATAAAAGCTACCTGTAAAAGTTACTGTAGGTATGTGAGGAGAGAAGATTGGTGAGGACAAATGTAGGTCAGAAACAGAGGAAGTGATAATGGGAAGAAAGAACACAAACAACAAACTACAGGATTCAGTGAGAGGCAGGAACTGAAGCAAATCAGTATTAGTAGGGAAATGGTGTTGGGGAAATTGAGACTAATAAATCTGAAGGGTGTTCCTAGTGTACTTAAGGAAGTGGCCATTGAACATCATGGAGCAAGGGCATGGATCAGACATTCACTGAGTAACAGGAGTTACAGCACAGGCCATTCAGCTCAATACAGAGCAGGCTGTACATCTGGAGCCCTATGTATGACTCACTGCTGCATGGCACTCCCACCAGTTGTTTTATGTTCGTTGTCCAGCCCTGACTCAGTTCTGTGTAATATGATGTAGCACGCTCCCCCTTGGGAAAAAGGATCTCTGATTTTCACCCTGTGAGTGACACAGCTTAACCCATTCTCTTCAGCATAAATCCATTCAATCCAATCTCCCACAGTTCATCCAATCAACAGGTCCCTGCACTGTAATCCCTGTGCCATGATCCCTGCACCACGATCCCTGCACCACAATCCCTACGTTGGGAAAATGAAGCTTAGACTGGGTGACTGATGGATGACCACTTCGCAGAACCCATATATTGTACCTGCAAAAAAGACCCTGAGCTTCCAGTTGCCTGCACTTTAACATACCACCCTGTTCCCTGGCCAACATTTCTGTGTCAGGTTTGCTGCCATGTTCAAGCAAAGCTCAGTGTAAGCTGGAAGAACAACACTTCATTTTCTGCTTGGGGACCCTGCAGCCCTCTGGACACAATATCAAGTTCAATAATTTTAGGACCTAAACTCTCCCATGTCCCAGCCCCCTACCCCACACACCAGGCCTTGTTACCATAGTCTGCTATTACACACCACCCATTGTTAGCCACCAACAGTCCCCATTAACAGTTATTCACCCTCCTAGCCAGATTGTTATTCACTCCTTTGTCTGTCTAACTGCTGTTCTGTCTCTTTGGACTCTATCCCCACCTATCGTTTACTCCTTACACCCACACTATCTTCTACATATAAACTGACAATTTCCTAGCCACACTCTGTTCTGAGAAAGGGCCACTTGACCTGAAACATTAACTTTAATTTTTCTTCACAGATGCTGCTAGACCTGCTGAGCTTTTCCATCAACTTCTGTTTTTGTTCCTGATTTCCAACATCTGCAGTTCTTTCGGTTTTTATTTAGTATTTAACTCACTGCCACATCTCTTCTGGGAATGCCCACCTTGAAGTTCTTCTCTCCGATAGGATTTCTGTTCCAATCTTTTTTTCCACCATCATTAATTTTGCTGTCACTCCTGGCGGTTGGCAAGGTATTGTTAAAATCTGTTTCCGCAGCCACATCACATTCCTAAGTGACTGTCTCTGGTTCAGACCCACCCCATGTGGATTCGAACTCAAGTTTCATCCTTTATGCTTTCAATCCAACCAGGATCATAAATAGCTCCACAATGTTCAACGTTCCACAGACAACTTCTCTCGCTGCATCCCAAGGTCCACACTCAGTGCCATACCTCATCACGTGCACACCCTCAACCTCTCTCTAACAGCATCGCATCACGCTAGCTCAGAGCTGCGCTGCTCCCTGTTTCACTTCATCCTCTGGCTCATTCGCCATGCTAACAAGAAACATTTTCTTTTCCTTTGAGGCATCAAGGAAAACAAGATTCAACAACTCAGATATCCATTGCCCTCTGGAACCTTACTCCCATCCCTTTCCCTCATTCCCTCTCTCAACCCTACCTCCTGTTGCGTATTTACTATTCCTTCTGACCTTGCTCTCTGATGCTGAATGTTTTGTATTCAGCAATGGTTTTGATTTATCCCTCTGCACCCCCACCTCAATGAATTTTGGGTAGAACATGATATTGAACTCTTCTTCCGTTGCCTTCGCTGCCATGCCCATTTCTTTGGGCAAGTATCCTCTCCCTATCCCACAGATCCCTTCGCCCAGTTCCAACACTCTCCCTCTGGCCTTTTATCTGAACTCAACCTGTTCATTGAGAATTGTTGATGTGACATTGTTCGCCTCAGTTTCTCTGCCCACCCCCCCCCCCCCCCCCCCCCCCCCCACACCCGCCCCCCCGTTACCCATTCCAACTTTTCCCCGCCATGAACAGACTGTACTCTGTGCTCTCAGATCCAATCCTGATTCTGTAATTAAGCCTGCTGACAAGCACAGTGTTGTTGATGTCTGACGACACTGACCTCTACACTGCAGAGGCTGAGCGCCAGCTCTCAGATATCTCCTTCTATCTCCCCCAGACCATAATCCCACCGTGGCACATCAGGCTATTCTGTCCACTTGTGTCACTAACCTGATTTCATCCAGATCTCCCCCCATTGCCTCCAAGCTCATAGTCTCCAACCCCGCACAGCTCGCTTCTACTTCCTTTCCAAAATCCACAAACAGGACTGCCTGGCAAACCCACTATTTCTGCCTGCTCCTGCCCCCAGAACTCATCTCTTCCTCGACTTGGACTTTCCTCCCCTATCCAGTCTGTTCCCACTGACATTTGCGATTACACTGACGCTCTACACCAGTTTCAGAACTCGAGTTCACGGGCTCCAGCCACTTCCTCTTTACTAGGGACGTACAATCCCTTTACACGTCTATCCCCCATCAGGATGGTCTCAGGGCTCTCTGCTTTTACCTGCAAAAAGGCCTGAACTGTCCCCACGCATTACCACCCTCCTCCGCTTGGCCGAGCTCATCCTCACCCTGAACAACTTCATTTTTAACTCCACTCACCTTCTTCAGGTCTAAGGGGTGCCCACGGGTACCCACATGTGCTCCAGTTATGCCTGTCTCTTTGTGGGGTACTTGGAACATTCCTTGTTCCAGTCCTATTCCGGCCCCCACCCACAACTCTTAGTCAGTTATATCAATGATACCATCTGCTTCCCTTTCTCGTCCAGAATTGGAAAAGTTCTTCGATCTCGCTTCCAATTTCCACCCCGTTCTCACCTTCACCTGGTCCATCACTGACTCCTCCCTTCTCTTCCTCAACATCTCTGTTTCCATTTCAAGGGAAAGGCTGGCCACCAAGCCCACTACAAACCCACTGACTACACATCCTCACACCCTGTTTCTTGTAAAGAATCTATTCCATTCTCCCAGTCCATCTCCATTGAGCTTGTTCCAATAATGCTAATTTCGACAAGGGAGCCCCCAAAACGTCCCACCTTCTTCTTCAACCGTGAATTCCCCAGCACCATTGTTGACAGGGCCCTCAACTGGGTCCGACACATCTCCTGCACCTCCGCCCTCGCCCCCTCTCTTCCCTCTCACTACAGCAATAGGGTTCCCCTTGTCCTTACCTACCGTCCCACCAGCATCCACATCCAGGGGGTCATTAACCTCCATTTCCATTACCTCCAGCAAAATGCCATCACCGGGCACATATTCCCCTCCCCTCCTTTGTCAGCCTTCCACAGGGATTGTTCCCTTCGGGACACCCTGGTCCACTTTTCCTTCACTCCCAACACCATCCACAGCCTCATGGCACCTTCCCCTGCAAACGCAGATGGTATAACATCTGTCCGTTTATCTCCTCCCTGCTCAGTATCCCAGGGCCCAATCACATCTTCCAGGTGAAGCAGCACTTTACCTGTACTTCCCACAATCTCATCTACTGCATGTGCTGCTCACAGTTTGGTCTCCTCTGCATTGGGGAAACGAAGCGTAGACTGGGTGACAGCTTTGCAGAACACCTATGTCCTGCTCGCAAAAAAGACCCTGAGCTTCCAGTTAACTGTAACTTCAACACACTACCACATTCCCTGACCTGGTCTCAGGCTTGCTGCAATGCTCCAGCAAAGCTCAGTGCAAGCTGGAAGAACAACACCTCATCTTCCACTTGGGGAACCTGCAGCCCTCCGGACTCAATATTGAGTTCAATAATTTTAGGGCTTGAGCTCTCCTTCATCCTTACCCAACCCCCACACACCAGTCCTTGTTATCACAGTCTGCTATTACACACAACCTATTGTTAGCCGCTAACAGTCCCCATTAACAACTATTCACCCTCCTAACCTGATCGTTATGCACTCCTTTATCTGTCTAACAGCTCTTCTGTCTCTTTGGATCCATCCTCACCTGTCGTTTACACCTTAGCCCCATCCTATCTTCTGCATATAAACCTACAGTTTTCTAGCCACCATCAGTTCTGAAGAAGGGTCACTGGACCCGAAACGTTAAGTTTGATTTCTCTTCACAGATGCTGCAAGACCTGCTGAGCTTTTCCAGCAATCTCTATTTTTGTATCCCTGCATCAGGATTGGCCAAGTGTTAACTGGGTTGCTGTTGATTGGTCGGATATTCATTGGCCTGAAGTAAATTTTCCAAGGGTTGAACCCTTGGTGGGGGGTGGTCTATTCCTTGGGGCTGATCACTCAGGAGTTGATCCCTCACTGTCTGATGCGGTTACTGTGAGCTGCTCTCTCTGTGTCTCAGGCTCCCAGCCCTGCTCCGATGATGACGCCTGCTCTGAGGTATTCCTTCCCAACGACAGTGACTATGATTCCAGTGACCCCCTGAGTCCGCGGGAGTTGGATCTGCTGCAGTGTCCCCCTGCTCCGTTGAGGAACTCGGGTGGTTGCTGGTTGAGCGGCAGTGCCCCAGATGTCCTCCAGGCGGATGAGCTGCGACCAAAAGGCGACTGTGAGGATCCAAGCAGCTTCCGAGGAGTGAGTGAGCCTGGCGCAGACAACGGCCAGGACCTGACTATGGGAGCTGTCAGCAAGGTCAACACAACTGTGCCAACAAACTCCCAATCCTTGAGTAAGACTCAGCCCAGAATGCCTCGGTATCAGAAATATCGCCACTTTAACCAGAACAGGTGGCTGTGTTTCCACGAAGACCCCCAGTCTGTGAGCCTGTCTCTGGGAGTCTATACACACAGACAGGAGGCTGAGCTATCCTTCTCGAAATCACCCTGTCTAGCCCAGGATCTGAGTGTTGCTAAAAGCACCAAAGGCAGCTTTGAGGAGTCCAAGTCGAGTGTCGGTGGAATCATTATGGACGTGAGTCAGAAAAGCAGCTCCCAGGAAGAGTCGAGCTCGTTGTCATTGAGTATCTGCAGCCATCAGTCGCAGAGTGCTGAGGTTAACTCCACCGATGGCACAACCCTGGAGACTGACTGTGACGAATTATGTGACACTCAGAGCTCAGATATAGTCAGCAGTGTTCTGTAGGGAGTTACTGCACACAAGACAATAAGCAGACACATTGCCTGTGGGTTACTGACCCTGATAGACCCAGAATGTTTATTAGCATGGGATTGGCTAGAATTGGTCTGAAGACACTGGCTGATGATGGTGGGACAGGGAGTTACATTGGGAGAGGAGGGGAGGGGGAAATCTCAGTCAGTGTCCTCACCTCTTCATGACTTGTGTGTGGACATTGGGAAAGAGTAGGTTCAGCCCCCACTGTGATTTTTCCACAGCCTCTACCTGGGCTGAAGCTCCATTGAGAGTCAGTGCCTTCAGGATGGAATGGAGTGTGTGGAGTGGGTGGAATGTGGGCAGTACAGGGGAAACAGTGGAGACAGAGGAACAAGCAAAAGAGTTGTAGATCAATGTTTTGCTGGAATTTGAAACTGGCTATGATCATTATTGAGTGATTGTCCAATGTGTGAGCAGGGACTGCTGCTTTGCTCGTTTTTATCTGACAGAGATTCTACACTTTGCCAATCGCTGACAGAGCTCAGTCATCAGCAGGTGGAGTGTGCCCATCACTGTCAGGCTGAGAATATCATCTGTGCAGGAGACTTGAAATCAGTCCATATTCTGGTCAGTCAGCAGTTTGTGGACTGAACACACTGACCCTGTATGGACTATTCCTGACACCATTTCCTTTTGTCACCTGCTCTGCCATTTCCTACCCATAATCTATTTTTGCACCAAGTGTTAGCAGGGAATATTTTTCAGGAATTTGAGTTGCAGAATCTGCCTGGGATTTGAGAAATTCCAGTTTGTTCCAGCTGTTTAGGGGAAGCTGGGTAAAGAAATAATGAGGGATGTTCAATCAATTCATTGCTTATTTGGGCAAAGACGTGTTTGGGAATAAATACGGGGGATTATGATAAGGGGAATCTTGCTTATTCTTTATCCAGGTGTACCTTAGAATCATCCAGCACAGAGAATGTCATTCAGCCCATCATGTCTCTCTCACCAATCAAATTAGAAAGAGCAGTCTGCTCAGTCTCAATTACCAGTCCTTTGCCCAGAGCCCTGCACATTTCTTTGCATCAAGAATTTCTCCAATTTCCACTGCCCCTTCAGACAGTGTGTTCCTGATCACAAGAACTTGCTGAGTCTACAAAGAAACCAAACATCTCCTCCTTGTTTACCTTTGATCTGAATTCTCTGCTTACCAACCCTCCTGGTCTTGGAAACGCCTTTTCCTTATTTTCTCTCCAGCAAAACCTTTTTTAAGATTTTGAACAAGCTAATGTCCTGCGACCCCTGTCTGTTCAAAAGAGAAACATCAAATGTAGCCTTTCCTTCCAAATTTCTCCCATTTCGCAAAGCAATAGGGAGTAGCTTAAAGAAATGTCTAGGCTTTTGTGTTTTAATCCTGTGCTTGATGCTGAATTATTTGCACTAATGAGTGTTTGGTGAAGTGATGGATTTCTGGGAACTCCGCAATATCAGGTTCTTGAAGAGAAAGCTTCACCAACAGCCCAAACACTGGACTGACAGAAAGGGATCAGCAAGCACAACTTCAAAGGAAAAATAAAGACCTGACCTTTCTCAGCCACTTTTGATCCCTACAATTCTTTAAACTGCAGGCTGTTATGTGTTTACACTGAAAGGGAACATATTAATGTTTGTGGCTCTGGTGTGTATGTCTGTGATTTCTTACAATGCTGCTGTGTGACAATGTTTGTAAAAAGGACAGAGAAAATGTCAAGGAACCTGTCAGTTCTGTGAAGAATTTCAATTCCTGTACAACTGGCTTTGATCAGTCACCAGAAACACTTTATAAACACCAAGGTGTCAATGAAGGAAAATGTATAATAGTCATGAAAAATGTCTCAGTCTGATGGTTCAACAAAGGCTTACTCTTTACTCAGTTCATTCACCCTCGGTGTGATAATGCTGTATACTCACAGTTATATCACCCTCAGTATGACAACATCATATACTCACAGTTATAGCACCCCGGTGTGATAACATCGTATACTCACAGTTATATCACCCTCAGTGTGACAACATCGTATACTCACAGTTATAGCACCTTCAGTGTGACAACGTCATATACTCACATTTATATCACTCTCAGTGTGATAACATTGTATACTTAGATATATCACCCTCGGTGTGATAACATCCTTTACTCACAAGTGCATTATTAATGTGTGTTGTGAAAAGTTAAAATAAATGAGGCATGAGTGTGAGGGAAGCTTAATGTTACAGAAATGAGAGTAAATGAAGGCGAAGAAATTACAAGTTGGTAAATCCTTTCCCAAAGCAGAGTTAGTGGGAAGAAACAGAGAAAGCTAGTGGTTCAGTGAGTAAGCACATGGCTAAATGAACCAGTGATGGGATAGACTGATAGGCAGGTTGGTCAACAATGAGGGGGACTAATCAGGGATGGACAGTATGGGTTGAACAGCTAACTTACTGAAGTTTCTCAGTTCACTACAGGCAGATTCGCAAAGCGGGAAGAAAATATGATTCATTCAGCAATGAACCAGAGCTCTCTGGTGGGTGATAAGCAGCACTGCTTTATCACAAGATTTAGTTTGAAGGAAGAGGGAATTGCAGGCAGTGCTTAAAGAAGAGAGAGAGCTATGAGAGGATCAAACCTATTGGAGCCCAGGGGGTGTGCGGGATCAGACAAGAAGGTTAAAATCTTCCCATATTGTCCATGAGACAAACTGGCACTGTAACCGAGACAACAAGGTGCAGGGCTGGATGAACACAGCAGGCCAAGCAGCATCATAGGAGCAGAGAGGCTGACGTTTCGGGCCTAGACCCTTCATCAGAAAAGGGGGAGGGGAAGGGGGTTTTGAAATAAACAGGGAGAGAGTGGGAGGCGGATAGAAGAGGGATAGAGGAGAGGATAGGTGGAGAGGAAACAAACAGGTCGAAAAGGCGGGGATGGAGCCAGTAAAGGTGAGTGTAGGTGGGGAGTTAGGAAGGGGATAGGTCAGTCCAGGGAGGACGGACAGGTCAAGGGGGCGGGATGAGGTTGGTCGGTAGGAGATGGAGGTGCGGCTTGAGGTGGGAGGAGGGGATAGGTGGGAGGAAGAACAGGTTAGGGAGGCAGGGACGAGCTGGACTGGTTTTGGGATGCGGTAGGGGGAGGGGAGATTTTGAAACTTGTGAAATCCACATTGATACCATTGGGCTGCAGGGTTCCCAAGCGGAATATGAGTTGCTGTTCCTGCAACCTTCGGGTGGCATCGTTGTGGCACTGCAGGAGGCCCAGGATGGACATGTCGTCTGAGGAATGGGAGGGGGAGTTGAAATGGTTCACAACTGGGAGGTGCAGTTGTTTATTGCGAACCGAGCGTAGGTGTTCTGCAAAGCGGTCCCCGAGTCTCCGCTTGGTTTCCCCGATGTAGAGGAAGCCACACCGGGTACAGCGGATGCAGTATACCACATTGGCAGATGTGCAGGTGAACATCTGCTTGATGTGGAAAGTCTTCTTGGGGCCTGGGATGGGGGTGAGGGAGGAGGTATGGGGGCAGGTGTAGCACTTCCTGCGGTTGCAGGGAAAAGTGTCGGGTGTGGTGGAGCTGGAGGGGAGTGTGGAGCGGACAAGGGAGTCACGGAGAGAGTTGTCCCTCCGGAAAGCAGATAAGGGTGGGGAGGGAAAGATGTCTTTGGTGGTGGGGTCGGATTGCAGATGGCGGAAGTGTCGGAGGATGATGCGTTGGATCCGGAGGTTGGTGGGGTGGTACGTGAGGACGAGGGGGATTCTTTTTTGGTTTTTATTGCGTGGACGGGGTGTGAGGGATGAGGTGCGGGAGATGTGGGAGACACGGTTGAGGGCGTTCTCGACCACCGAGGAGGGGAAGTTACGGTCCTTGAAAAACGAGGACAACTGAGATGTACGGGAGTGGAATGCCTCATCCTGGGAGCAGATGCGGCGGAGGCGAAGGAATTGGGAATAGGGGATAGCATTTTTGCAGGAAGGTGGGTGGGAGGAGGAGTATTCTAGGTAGCTGTGGAGTCGGTGGGCTTGAAATGAATTTCGGTTTCTAGGTGGTTGCCCGATATGGAGACAGAGAGGTCCAGGAAGGGGAGAGAGGTGTTAGAGATGGTCCAGGTAAAAAGTTGTGTGATTTTTGAGTGTTTTGTAAACTCTTTTTAAAGGGTATTTTGGACACACAGGGATATATAAACAACACTTAGCACAAAGAAAATAAATGAATCTTAGGAGGTAACAATACCTTCCAAAATTCTATAGGATAATTCCAGCAGACTGGACAGCGGAAAAGGGGCTGTTTGACAAAGGAGGGAGGGAGAAAACAGGGAATTCCCGACTGGTTAATCTAAGAACCAGTGGAGGGAGAATGCTGGAGTCTGTTATAACAAAGGATGTCATAATAGGACACTTAAAATATCAACAGTATCACACAAAGACAGCATGGATTTATCAATGGGATTGTGTGTTTGACAAACCTACTGGAGTTTTGTAGGATGTAACTAGCAGTATAGATGAGGGAGAACTTGTGGATATAGTTTATTTGGATTTTCAGAAAGCTTTTGATAAAGTCCCACATTGAGGTAATTGTGCAAATTAAAGAATGTAGGATTGATGGTAATATTCTGGCATTGATTGAGAATTGTTTAGCAGACAAGAAACAGAGAGAGGGAATAAATGGGTCATTCTCTGAGTGGAAAGTGGTAACAAGTGGGGCACTGCAGGGATCAGAGCTTGGGCCCAGCTATTCACAATATAAATCGACCATTTGGATGAGGGAAATGAATGAAATATTTCCAAATTCAGTGAGAACAAAAAATGAGGTTGGAGTGAGAGTGATGCAGAGGAAACAAAGAGCCTTCAGGGTAGTTTAGATAAACTGTGAGTGAACAAATACATAGCAGAGGCTGGATAACGTGCAGAAGTGTGAAGTTGTCCGCTTCAGTGGAAAAACTGGAGAACGTTATCTCTGCATTTAATCCAGCACTGTTAGAATTTTTATACAGGGGATTGACCAAGCTAGATTTCCCAAGGTGCCCAAGGATGTGCAGGCTAGGCGGATTAACCATGGAATTACAGGGATAGTGTAGGGGTGTGGGTCTGGGTGGAATGCTCTTCAGAGCATCGGTCTAGATACGATGGGCTGAATGGCCTACTTCCACACTGTAGGGATTCTATAAATACAGGCTCAGTCGACTCAATTTCTCCTCATGCATCAAACGTGCCATCTCAGGAATCAGCCTATTTAAGAAGGGGATGGATTGACTTCTAGAAGCAAAAGATATTAAGGTGCATGGGGAAAAAGCGGGAGTATTGCTTTGTGATAGAAGATCAACCATGATCATGTTGGAGGGGCAGAGTTGGCTCAATGGACTGAATGGCCTATTCCAGTTCATGGTTTCTATTTTGATCAGGAAACCATTCATCACTCTTCTGAGAGGTCAATGCCTCAATCGGAGGATGGGGCTGGGTGGTAGTCAGAATTGTCGAAATATTCACACCAATCCACTCAGGGATATTGTGACACATTTCTGGAACAAACCTAACTCCAAGCCTGTCATCTAACCCCTTCATGAAGGGGAGATCACGCCTGACAAATTTACCAGAATTCTTTGAGGAGGTAACAAACAGGATAGATAAAGGAGAAGCATTGTATGTAATAAATTTATTTTTCAGAAGGTGTTTGATAAGGTATCACACATTCAGCTGCTTAATAAGATGAAAGTCCATGGTGTTGGAGTAGTATATATTGAGGATTGGAAAACTAATAGAGCATAGGATCATAGGATCCTTTCAAGCCTCCTCTCCATTCAATAGGATCATAGTTGATTGACCACTTCAATGCCTCTCACTCACTCATTCTCCAAAACCATTTATGCCATTGGTAATTAAAAATCTATCAATCTCTACCTTAAGCTTAAAGATTGGGCCTCCATGGCCCTGTATTCTAGGGAATTCCATAGATTCACAACCCTCTGAGCAAACAAATTGTCCCAACCACAGAATTGGAATAAGGGGAGTATTTTCAGGATAGCAACCTGTAGCCAATGGAGTACCACAGGGATCAATACAGGAGCCACATTTGGTGGAGGATGATCTCAGGCAAGGAGTGTTGAGTTTTTAAGCCAAGTTGCTATTAAAAAGGAAGAGTTGTTAGGCGTCTTAAGAAGTATTAAGGTAGATAATTCCCTGGGTCCTGATGAGATCTATCCCAGAATAGTGAGGGAAGCAAGGGAACAAAGTACTGAAGCATTGACAGACATCTGGAGAGGGTAAAGAAAAGGTTTACCAGGATGTAGCCTGGTATGGGGGATTTTAGCTATGAAGAAAATTTGGATAGACTGTGTTTGTTCTCACTGGAACGCAGGAGGTTGAGGGGCGACCTGGTGGAAGATTATAAGATTGTGAATGGCATGGATAGAGTAGAAAGTATGAGGCTTTTTCCCAGGGTGGAGGGGTCAATTACTAAGGGACACAGGTTCAAAGTACAGGGGTGGGGGGGGGGGGCAAGTTTAAAACAGATGTGTGAGACAAGTTTTTTATACAAAGGGTGGTGAGAGCCTGGAATGCATTGCCATTGCCAGAGGAGATGGTGGAAGCAGACACAATGGCAGAATTCAAGAAACTCCTGGACGAATACATGAATAGGAAGGGAATAGAGGGATGTAAGTGAAGACAGTTTTAGTATAGAAGGTCACAAGGTGTTGGTGCAGGCTTGGAGGGCCAAAGGGCCTGTCCCTGTGCTGTGCTGTTCTTCGGTCTTTAACTCTACCACCTAGAAAAACCTGACAAATGTGTGGTTGGAGATGCTGCTCTGGGTTTGGACTCATCAACCATGCAAGGA